CTGGCAAAACGGATTTGCGTACGGAATTCACACGTGTCAAACACATGGATGAACTGCAATGAAAGGTCTTCTGCGGTGAGGTACACCGTTACATCAATCATTTATTGATAAGTGAGAATTCGGTTGTAAACAACTAATACAAACTGTAGTATATTAACTATACACCGTAGGTATTATCGTGTCAAGCATGCGAAATCAATGTAAAGTAATTATATCTAGCGTTTCAGCAAAAAATAATCCAATTGCCTGCATTTGCTATTTGTCAACTATGATCAACTACTGGGTTCAAGTCAACTGACGCACACATTCCTCCGTTGTCCCACATCTCCGTTAGATAAACCACAGAATCAATACTGATCAATACTGTTTTACGTAATTTCGTCCGTAGCTAGCTTGGAGTGAACAACAAGCAACAATCAATGGAGCAAATCCGCTCGAGGCGTACATGTATGTGTGTGAAAACTGAACTTGGGAATTCATTATTAGCCAAGTCCAGAAACTACTTCGGTTGTTACTACCCATCTTGTCACTCATTTCCCCTTAAAATTCGGTCCTGGCATGTGTCAAATGCGCATGAATAGTTGTGTACACGGGTTTCTGTTGTGTCCATATAATGTACCAGTGCAGTGGCTATTTTGGCTTATCAAACCAAAAGATCTAGTCGGCTAACGAGAGGAATGAATGAGGTCTACACAGAATCAGTTCGAGGCACGTTGTGTGTGTGTGTGTGTGTGTATAGAATTGGTTAGAGGAAATTTAAGAAACGGGTGCCCCATTCAGTCATCGGTTTCATCATGCAAATTAGTTCAAATACACTCTTACAGGCTGATTAGAAAACAGCTCTATTCATAAAAAAAGGTTATGAGGCGTAACTGTAACGGTTGTGGATATGGCTAACTCACTGCAATAATTGATTGTCATATTTCGCGGATCCATATATAACGATGTTCGATGCGTGGGAATCCCTAAAATTTCACTCATCCCCGATGCATCCCACCACGAAGCGTATTCCGGTCCCGTGGTCGTTGCAGTTCGATGCGTAGCTCCATTTCCAGGTGAGGTCTGCATTTGTGAATTGATCATATAATTTGATAAATCCATAGTTTGTTCATCCATCTCGCCTGGAAGTTTGTGGTGCTTCCCGGATGGGGTCACAGCCTCCTGATTCGATGCAGTTGAATCTGGACAATGGTCGAGACGATTTCCGTATGCATAGTTTGACTTAACCAGATAGTCTGCCAGTTCCGGGTAGAGATAGAATAGTCGTTGCCAAGCTCCGGGATCGGAAGTAAATTCTGCGAGGACCGGTGGAACGGGGACTGTGTCGAATTGGATCTCCGTTGCACAGTTTTTCTCCACACACGGTGTCACCGTGGCCGCTAATACCGTTTTGTTATCTAGCGGACCACCATTTGGACGACTGATCACTTTTGGTGTGCTCATAATTAGATCCGATATCTGTGATGAAAGTGACTGGTGTTGTTGCTGCTGCTCTTGTTGTGGGTGTTGTGACTGGTGTTTGTGATTTTGAGATTGTTGCTGTAAAACATTTTGAATCAAACTAACCAAATTATCATATCCATGTTGTTGTCTGTGGTGAACGGAAGTGGTGTTCAATTTGGGACTGAGTATATTCTGTTTATGAATAGTATCTTTTACTAATTCTTCTGGTCTGATTTCATGATTTTGGTCGTCCATCCGGTTCGTGGAGGATCGTGACAAATTATTCTCAATCAAATCTGCCACATTGAATCCCGGCATGTGTGCTGCTCTTATGCAATGTGAAATGAAGAAACTGAACTGATAGTCAGTTGTCTTTATTTATTTATTGCTAAAAAGGGCAGACAGAGTACATGGGGGTGAGAAAAATTTACACTCCACCCCCACCCCCCCTTTCCGCACTTCTGTACACCTCACACTACCAATTCCGGGTTGTTCGTGTCCCGTTGCGCGATGGACATTCTTTCCCCTTCCCCGGAACTTGGACACCGCCTAATTATCACGTTTGTCTAATGATTCGTGCACACGGGTCGGCCGCACATGTGTTCGCCGGTTGCCCTGGTCACACGTTCATGATTGGCCTGTTCCCGTATGGTCACTCTACCTTCTCATTGGTCACCTCGTCAATGTGTATTGCGCGGCGGACGAAAAACCAGTGCACACAAGGCGTTCGTACAAGTTACACGCGGATTGGTTGACCTTGTACGCCAACCGTTCGTCGGACGACTGAAGTCAACCCGGTCAAAATCAACAATTAAACGACACTGGTCTGAGCATTTTCATCCAAATCTGAAAGTGAAAATTCACGATTGAACTGAATGCAGATTAACTGAAAATGATTTTTTTTCATTTTATTTGATGATAGTGATTCCGTAAGTATAATAAAGTTTCCAACCGAGTCATAACCGTGGAGACTAGTTCTGAGATAAGCGAGGACCGATACTCGTAACATGCACTCAAAGATCGATTGTGTTACAGCTTGTATATTTAAAATGAGAAACGGTTTGAGCAGC